GAGAGAGAGAGAGAGAGATGGAGATGAAGATGAAGATGGAGATGTTAAATCAATATCGATATCTTTGTTTAATCTGTATTGCGCATATGTGATAGATAACACGTGGGGACATGAGATTATTAAAAAAAAAGACAAATGTCATTTGGAAATCTATATTGAAACCTACTCTAGAGTGCACTATTTTTATATTTCAATGGTGTTACTACATCGGTCCGTTGTCATTTTGAAACGTCGGGATAACATATGAATATTATAATATCCACCAACATGATTTGTAAGAATAAATAATAGTCCGTTCTTATATTTAAACCATCTTAATTACATATTTAAAGAAATGTTTTAAATCAATTAAACAAAATTGAGTCAGCAGCAATCAATTAAAGTTAAATTGAATTATGATGTTAGTAGGAAAACATAACGAAAACTTTTGAAAAAAAAGAAGTTTTTAGTATATTTTACGAAACTGTTCGATCGACTGCAAATGTTATTATTTTATCGAAAAACATTTTTATTTTTATATATTTTGTAATTTTCATATGTTTCCTTATTTGTGTAATTCAAGACGGCTGCAATGAATTGATAAAACTCTAAAATTCTTGAAATAAAAATGAACTATAGTTACCAAAAAACCTAGAGACAGACAGAAGACGCTGTTCAATCATAAAGTTGATCGCGGGAACACACATACATACAATAAATAAGAACCACATATATGTCCATATCTTCTTTGCTAAATTTTTAATTATTCTTGATTTGGCAAGAAATGCAAAATTTCAAGTGGAATTACGTTCCGCAATGTTGAAAGTGCCTTTTGCCGATATATCCGGTCTAGAGCTTATTTCATTATGGATGTATCATTTATTAATTGAAATCTACAGATTCTAGTATCTATTTCGAATATTCCTACTCCGTAATAATTAAAATCAGGAAATGAAACTCTCGGAAATGAAATTTCATACTCGTGATCGAGTGTTTGTGATCACTTCGAATGACTGCCAGAGAATTGGCGTATCGATCTGTTTTTCTTTACTCGTGGGAAATTAAACTGCCGCTTTCGAAAGAGTTCTAAATGCGATGTGAAACTAAGTCCAAGTTGCTATTCCTTAGCTTATCAAGTCACGTTAAAACTTTTAAGCTTTCTGACAAAACAACTTGCAAGTTAAACAATACTGTCGTACACACTTGAGATTATTTTTCATGTATATATACCAAAGTATATATAACAAAGAAATATATATTTACAAGATATATTTATAAAAAAGATTTATGTAAGATGTATTTATAAAAAAGAATTTCATATAATTCTAGATTTATAATTTTTTAATGATTTTATAAAATTGCATTATTAAGTAATATATCGATTGAATCAATAAGACAATTTTGTGTGTTATGTCACACACACACACACACACACACACACACACACACACACACACACACACACACGAC